ACACCAGAATACGCAACTATATCAATTTTTATAAAATGTGCTGGGCTTGCTGGGCTTGGTGTATTCTAGAATACACCAAGCCCAGCACATTTTATAAAAATTGATATAGTTGCGTATTCTGGTTTATTCTCGTGTATTGTCAGTGAGAATACACCAAGCCCAGCAAACCCAGCAAATTTTATAAAAATTGATATAGTTGCGTATTCTGGTGTATTCTCACTGAGAATACACCAAGCCCAGCAAGCCCAGCAAGTTTGAAAAAACGGTCTCTTTTTGAGAATACACTGCGTAGTGATATTCTGACACCCCTCTCATAAACAGATGGCAAGGCGTGGTAACTATACATCAAATGAAAATAAGCGTCAACTTTTGCATAACGGCCATAATCTAAGGATAAAATAAGTTTTGAACCTGAAAAAACAGAGAATTGATCCCGGTTGCTTTAATTAACAAAAAAAAAAGATGGAAATGAGCCCAGTTCAAAAAAGAAAAAATTTATCTCCGCAAAAGAGAGAAATGAGGCCGGTAATTTAGATTTGTTAAATATATAAAAAAATGATCAGTTTAAGAGCATTCTTTTAAAATGAATCTTAGAAGCGTGTATATATAATCGTAATTTAAATTAAACATCACTATGTAGTACGTATATAACATTATCAATTGAACAGCATTCTTTTAAAATCAATCTTAGAAGCGCACATATATACACACCTTATATGCACATCGCATATATATATAAATTGGGAATAAAAAATGGAAAGATATCCGGAATTAGTTTATATTCTTTTCTACAAGCTATGTCTCGAAGACTATGGCATGAATTTTCTACACGTACTACTGAAAACGATCTAAAAGTGTTTGTCCACTCGTCAACTACTATCAACTACCAAATATTCTTCAGCGTTGGCTATTGATTGTACGTACAAAGTCACGTGGAATAATGTACCGATACTCATATTTGGCACATCAGATTATAAACGTCATTTTCATCCAGTTGGCTTATGCTTGGTATCATCTGATGAAGCTTCTTCAACATATGAAACATTGTTTCAAGGTGTTCCTACATGGGCGTCTAATATTAATCAACAAACATATTTGATATCACATGTGATGGGTGATGGAGCTGCAGGTATTACAAGTGCAATGTCAGTCATACCACAAAGTCGTAGATTAATGTGTTGGGCACATACTCTTAGAAAATGTCGTGAACATAGAAAATTGATACCAAATGAACAAAAATGGTTAAATGTTGAAAAAGATATTGTTAATTTACAATTATGTTTTCAAGATAATTTGTTTAATCAAGCAGCTACTTTGTTATTACGTAAATGGAGTTTAGACAATCAACTAGATAGATTCCGTACATATTTTGAAGGACAATGGATAAATGATTTATCATTTTGGTATGAAGGAGCGGTTTGTTTAGCACCATCAACAAATAATGGTCTCGATCATTAAATGACAAAATTAAACAATCATATACAATGAGAAATAAATTATCGTCGGTCACATTTCTACAGACAGTAGAACGTATGTTAGGCATTTAGTCGATTTTTCACGTATAACGGCTCCTTGGTATTGTACATATCGTTTTGGTCAAAAGGAATATTCATGTGTTCATACAATCGATTTAATGATTATATGGAGTTTTAAAACTGTTCCACAAATAATTGGTAAAAGAAAAGGAAAAGGTAGACCAAAAAAATAAAAGTAGCTTTAACAAAAGATTAAGAAAAGCATTGTTATTATTTTGTATTTATTAACCCTTTGGCTACGGGTTTAATTTATTTATTCTTAAAAGTTTTGTAGAGTATGAAAATCTTTGAAACAATCAACAAAGCATAAGCCTACATCACACTCTGTGCACTGATATCGTGAGAGTACATCGTTTCTTTTCGGACGTCTGACAGTGTTGCTGCAGACGACACATTTTCTCCTAGCTGCTGGCTGTGTGTCTGTGGCTGGAATCGGTGAGAGGAAGTGCCTTGCAGTTAACCTGAGTGGTGCAGTTGTTGATGAAGATCGACCTCTGGTTGCTACTCGTTGACTACCATACTTTTGGATAATCAACTAATTGCATCGTGTGACTTGTCCTCATTTTTGACAATATAAATGCTTTGAGAACTGTTATATCCAGTAAGTGAAAGAAGAGTTTTTTATACCATTTGATAGATTTTCTAACCGATTCAGAGAAACTGATCTGCATATCTGACTTATCCACGGCTCCCATATTATTGTTGTAGTCAGCAATGCATATTGGCTTCATCAGACACTATACCTCCTATCATTGTCAGTATAGTGACGTAAGAAAACGTTACGTGAGAGACAAGAATGGAAAAATATAGAAACTTTTAGAATGTGTTCGAAAACTGGGCACGGGACAGTCAGGTGAACGCATTATCACATGATTGTATCGTCACTGTATCACATACAAGATGACAGCAATAACAGAGAGAACAAGAGAGACAATAGACTTCTGAATACCTGCATAAATATCACCGCTAACAGTCTGGTATCATATATGATACTCCCGTAGCCAGAGGGTTCAATTGCGTGATATTTTTTTTGTTGAACAAATAAAATCACAATCGATAAGTTTAAAATGTTACATCTATAAAGCTTCATCAAGATAAAAAAGACGGAGTTTTGTCATGATAAACTTCGAAAGCTGAAAAACATTGTCATGCCTCTACATTTGTGAAGGAAAGAGTGATCATAATATTCGTATTGCTTGCCATTTCTTTTTGTTAATGAATGCAGTTAAAACTTCGTTTTGGTTTGAAAGATTAATTCTAAAATATTTGATTATATCAGAACATCATTTAATCCGACGTATCTCAAGGCTTATGAATTCTTTGTTTTTGTTATCACGTTTTCTTTGGACGACGTTTATCATTACGTTTAAATGTATTGACTAAGTTTGTCGTGTTCAGTCATCTGTGGCGGTGAATATCAAGATGGCGAAAATAATGTGTTCTTGCTGAAGTAGATTTTATGACAGAAGAGACACTCTCTAAAATTTTCGCTGTATTTTTGCCGGTTCTAAGATGTTTTTGATCCGGAAAACCTGCTGTTGACATGATGATAGATTAAACATATTTCTACTCGCTGATATAAATATCTCATAATAATGCCCGAAAGTTTTAAGCTAGATTCAATATGTGGAGAGCATCATGAAAGTGTCTTTTTTTTTTTTTTTTTTATGTTTATAT